AACTAATCCTATCAATTATTTGTTCTTCGGTTTTACAAGGTAGTTTTACACTCAGTAGTTTGCCATTGAAAGAATGGTGCCTAAATGTATAATGAAAGTCAAAGTTGTTATTTTAGGACAAGTACAGAAATGTAAGTATCTAGTCACATGGATAACATCCAATGGAAGATGTATCGCAGAGATAAAGAATAGAATAGGTCAAGCCCAAACTGTATTGTAGACTTGTCATTGGATATTAGGAAAAGAATTCTCGCATGCTATATAGAGCCAGTTTTAACATACGCCTGTGAAGCCTGAACAGTTAATAAACAAGCCAAACAATATATTGAGGCCTCGGAGATGTGGTTTTACAGAAGAATCCTTAGAATTCCTTGGACAGCTAAGAAGAGCGGCCAGATATTTTGAAAAAGGTGAGTTCCCAAAGACAACTTATCACAAACATCAGAAAGAAACAGTCATCATTTTTTGGTCATGTTTTGAGAAGAGGAAAGATGGAGCATGTTGTGACCACTGAAAAGAACTGTGGAATGAGAGGCAGAGGAAGCCAGTGTGAAAAAATTCTTTAAGTCTTTTGTCATGACATGGAGAGGTGTCAGCACAAGAACTGATACACACAGTTGCAGATCACAAATTGTGGAGAGGCATGATCGTTCACGCCAGTCAGCAAGACACTTGACAATAATGATGATGAGTTTGCCATCGCTGTGTGAATAATGAGCACTCATATTTTTGTCAAAATCAGTACAAAATAGTCTACTGCATATTGCCTGTAGATAAATTAAATTTGGAATGTTGAAATATGCAACTGCTTTAATAACTTCTAAGCCCTTGTGGAGAGGATTAAGAGAGTGGGGGGGGGGGAGGGGGGAGGGGGGGGGAAGCAAACAGCCAATAAATTGTGCGGTTAGTTTGCTACGTACTAAGAGGACCTACAATTAACTTTTTTGTTTTTTAAACTTCACAAAAACTTATTTATTCCACAGACTGCCCAGACCACAGATTGTCCAATGTCCATGTTTCTGCTGTTCCAAAATTTTCATGTTAGCAACATTTTCTACTGTAACCTGCATGTTGATCGTCAAAATATTGTCAGTGATACATTTGATAAACTACTTTCAATAGACAATGCACAATTCAAGAAACCATTGTGGGTTAGTAAAATCTAAATATGTTTATTTACTATAAGATTGTTAACTCTTTTTTAAAAAAGAAAAAAAAATTCTACTTGGGTTTCCAGGTCAAGCCAGCAAAATTGGTACTAGGAAGTATTTCCTGGGAAATAAAAGTTACTGTCATTCTGTTGACTTGACCACCTATTGACTGCCACTTGGTCAGTAGAAAAGTTTGAATCCTGGTTGAGGCAGATTGTAAAAAATGTCTTTGGCTCCTCAGGTCAGTCCTGCCTACTTTGTGAACGAGGAAATTATCTGGAAAGTAACAGCTGTTAGATTAATATTGAATACATACCGCTTGGTCTGCTGATTAGTCTATTAAAAATATCAGGACTAGCACAATATGTCCGTTACACCTCAATCCATTGAAATGTGAACTTCATCCTCATGGCAGACAGCAAATACTTATACATATTGAACCAGCACAGCATGCTTAGACAACTAGGGCTTTGGAGCTGAAATATTATAGAAATATTCTTAGAATATCGTTGACAAAGAAGAAAAGAAATAGAAGAAAATCTGAACAAGAAAATCTGAACATCAAGAAAAACTGGCACATAAACAACATCTTATCTTGGAAACTGAAAAACTTTGGCGATATCAAATTAATAAGAATATTTTTTATTAACTACCTGATTATTTTCTGCAAACATATATTTTAAAATAATTATTTTGTTTATAAAAAATAGGTACAGTTTATTGGAGAGAATGCTGCTGGCATTGGTGTCTTGAAGGTTGGTTTTTAGATGTCTTCAACTGTTTAAATAAATGTGTATCATAATAAAATGTCATGTTACTGTTCATGTGCTTTAGCGATGCAGAAACTAAACAGTATGAAGAACCTAAAGTGCAGCACCTGCATGGAGGTTAAATAAACATTTTGAGATTATGCATCTTCTCCATGGAGACATAGTCATGGGCTCTCATTCAGTCTTTGATGAAAAAATGTGTGCTTTTGAACTGAAATGCTATAGAAACATTTTTAGAATAACATGGACCAGGAACAATAAAAAACATTGAAATCCTACATGATCTGAACATTGAGGGGATTTGGCTCATACACAGCATCCTCTCTCAAAAACCGCAGTATTTTGGGTCAAGTAAACAGCTTGGTGGCCTGGAGAGAGCAGTGACGGAGGATGCAGTTTACGGAAAACTAGGTAGCGGCTGACCTCTCCAAATATGGATACAAGGCACTGAAGACACATCGGATTTGAAATCTCCTAGGGCTGGAGAATTGGTCAGAGAAAGAGACTAGGACCTGCTCTTTGATGATGATGATCACTTCTTTAACGTTAAAGCTTCTTGCTTATCTCTCCTAAAAGAGTTTCTATCATATAATTATTTTTTCTGTATTTACATAATTGCTTTTCACTCCTGAGGTATAGAAATTTCCTCTTCTGAACAGAGACAGGTTTTATACTTTTCTGTTAATCTGGCTCAGAAACAGGGATTGGCCATTTTGTGTGTGCAAGAACCTCATCATGGCAACTGTTAAAGATAATAGTTTAGAGAGAAAAGCAATGGAGGGTATGGTTCCTGGAAAAAAAGGCAGAGATTGACCAACACAGACCTGGACACAGGATTTCAAGGATGCCTTGGGCATGAAATTTGTTGATGCAGGACAGTTTTTAAGGGATCTAATGGCTTTCCAGCATGGTATGATTAGAGTGACATGCTGCCAAGAACCTGCTACATGTTAATGATGTTGCTAATATCAATTATCCAGTTTAGTTCAGAGCTTTTTACAGCTATATATTTACTAAGCAAACTTTGTATCAGCAAGAAATACTAAGGAGTAAGAGCATCTGGGGAGAGAGAGAGAAAGAGAGAGATGGTAGCAAAGTGGCAAGACCCTCTGTTGGCCTGGTAATCGTTTGTTTAAATGCAGCAGATTTTTTTTAATGACCTGAGCTTCCCAGATAACCCAGTCTAAAAAATTAGTAACAGGAAATATTCTGTAAAGCAAATGTGACCATCATAATATTTACCCCATTATTTAGCCAATGTTTATTGAACTATAAAAATAAAAATGAGCTAGCACCATATTTCCAGTATGCCTAAAAGTTTGAAATGGTTCGTTTATTTTACAAGTACTAGTAGTATTGTCATTACAATTAGAAACACAGATAAGAATGAAGTCCTCTGAAAAAACACTGGAGAAATAGAGAAATACTGCCAAGATCTCATAGCCTGAAGGAGGAAATGATTTACCTGCACCTTTACACTACAGAAGACATGAAACACAAGGTGTGAAATGCTAACCATCAGGATAAATTAACTCTTTTGAACGAATTAACTAGAGCACAAATGGGATGTTTACTCACTTAAATTAAAGATGGGAAGATTTCTAAATGGTATCGTTCCTACTTGCAATGGATTGCAGGTTATGGCTGGCTGATATCGCCATTATAGGTGCCCTAATTATAACTTCTGTAGAGGTTAAACAGGGTATCTGGGATCTGCCTTGTAGTTCAGCCATCCAGATTGACATTTTTAAAATCTCAGGATGGTTGCTAAACCATTAGGTAGCAGCCTGGATGGGACAAGATGTTCTATCAATCTGAGGGCATAAGCCAAAGCCATTTGGATGTGAAAAAAAAGGGGAAACTATTACATTCATCATCATCTTTCGTGTGCTGTTAAACATCACATAGGGCTCGCATTTAGTTCCTCCATTCCACACTCTTGCATGCAACTCTCTCAATTTCTGACATGGAGTTCAGCTCAGTTTGCTTCTCGTAATAATGTTCTTAATGTTACCCTTGGATGTGCTATTTTTCTCAGACCTTTCGTTTCCCATTTTAGTTCTTGTTTTGTAATGCTTTGCTAAACTTTTAAACTAAACTATTATCTGGCTGGTGACACTTTAAAAAGTTATTTGTTTCTAGCCTCGGTTTGTTGATACAGTTTTCCCATTTCTGGACTTGGAGTAAAAAGGTTCCATCACCCAACTACTACTACTTGGTGCTTTGCATGTGCAAGCTTCAAGATTTTGCTGGAACTGATATGTTTTCAAATGGGAGGGTGAAAGATATTTTTTGTGATTTTTGATTGGCGCTGGGATGGTGCAGTTAGGGGGTTAGCCATTTATATTGAAGTTAGAACTTTGACTAACAACTAGGGTAGAAAAATTATTTTTTGCAATCTATGTAGCAGAGCAGTGATGAAACAAATAGATGTAGTGATAATGTTGACCCAGTGTCTGGCTGTATTACTGCAGAAAATGTTGCTTTTGGACTGGGAAAAAAAAGCAACTAAGAATGGAAATATTGAATGAGAAGAGTTTATATAAGGAAAATCTTGTCATTATAGAAATCGACAAAGCTAACATTGTCATAGTTAATACTGTCTGTTAAAAGATACAGTGAAAAATAAACCTGTGATGTTGTTTCCTTATTTAACATTCAATATTTAAATTTAAATACTTCAGTACAGTTTAAAACTGAAGTAAATAATTTCACAACTTATTGTTGGTAGCCTGTGAATGAATAGAGATACTGAAGTTTAATTGAGGAAAAAACCCTGGCAATTAGGAGAGTAAACAGCATTAAAAAACCTACAGATAACTCCAGCAAGAACATACAAATTAAAATACTGGGGACATGCGTATTTTCGTTGACAACATACAGGCGTGACCGAAGAGCATTATTTCACAATCACTTTAGAAGAAAATTTAGACTTGAATTTTAATATTAAAGAACAATTTTTAGAAACCAGATTTTACAAAAAAAAAAATTCCTTTTTCCCCCCAAAGTAAATAAAAAATATATTAGTTTGACATATTTAAATTCTTGTTTATTGAAAAACCTGATTTATATTTTGAAGGAGTTCTTCAAGGTATTGTTTCGAGAACTGCAGGACCCTGCCCTTTGCTTCTTCAAGGCAGACAGTGAATCCAAGCTTATGTGGTTTGACACTACGGTAATTATTTTAAAAGTCTTAACTCTTTCAGTCCCATTTGATTTTTAAGGTTTTACTCAACTGGTAAACACAGATTCTGTATTTTAAAAAACATCTTGAAAGCCTTATCTTCAACTTGGCTAAACACACATTGGAAGTAGCTGGTACGATAGCCAGATTTCTGTAGAATGCTGTGACCAACATTTCATGACATTTTTTTTATGCCACCTGTAATTCTTCTTTACTTGGTCTAATATATTTGCTATCTTTAATACATTTTCTATCTACATTTATCAGAGTATTTAAATACCTAAACACATTAGCTTGTTTCAGACATCCCTATTTAGTCTGATAACATTTTAGTAAAGTAAAGGACCCTTTTCCACGCCTTTAGGCGTATAGGGCTAGACCTATATTTTTAATAGACCAATTGGCACAAGATGGGTGATGTGGTCAGCATCACGCTGGCCGCCTCTACCTCCGGTACCCACTCAAGGCTGGGTTGACCTGGGAACCAAGGTCATTTTTAAAAAAAGACTGGCTCCGCTACGGAGCGAACCCACGACCTTCCGATCCACAGCAAGTGTCTAGCCGCTCTGCCATGGTGACTCGCCTGATAACACTTTTGCATTGTAATTAATTTTTTCCTCAGTGTTAAAGCTAAGATCATTGCCTCAATACTCTTTTAAAATGTATGTATAATTTGTTTTTGTTTTTAAAGCTACTGCATTTTCAGCAAGAAAATTATATTATCATCATATTGCATGTTGTATACATTGTGCCCTTACATGTATAAAAATAATTACAGTCTTCTGTTAGATACTTCTATTTCAGTGTGAAACACAGATATTCTACAGAATGACATGATAAGTACAGTAGCGAGTTCCTTCCCCTATATCTTATTTTTTTTTTTTTTTTTTGCCCTGCCAGTTGAAAATTGCAATTACAATTTAAAAAAAAAAAAGCACATGAATACTGCATAGGCCATTTCTGTAGTGACCTGTTCTCAAAAAGCATAGTTTAATGTTACTGGTTCTATGAGCAGCTACCTAGTGTTTTAAAGGCCCGGTTGTGAATATATTAACTAAATATAGTCTTTAGAGGGGTTTCCTTATAAATCCAATTGCTTTTTAAATATTCAGGTTGATTTTAAGTGTTTCAGTAGGCCTCAGTGGCAGAGGTCATGGGATTATGGCATGAGTCACCAGATACATATTTGTTTTAGAGCCTGGTAATGCATTCAGTTTAATGTGTTATTGTCTTCATGGTCATTGAATACTCTTTATATATATATATATATATATATATATATATATATATATATATATATATATATATATATATATATATATATATATATATATATATATATATATATATATATATATATATATATATAAAACAAAAATTTAAAAAAAAGGAGGCAACGACATTTTTAAATAATTTATTAATTGCCAATGTTAGATAGGTTTTTTCCTAATGACTTTTAAGAAATTTCCACAGGTTCATGACTTTTTGTTGTTGCAATTGTAGAGTGGGAGCTTAAAGAATTTATTTATATTTTAAGGAGCAGTGTCTGTATTATTGAAAAAGGTTGGCTTTTAAAGACCATAAAACACAGAAAGTTGAAATATTTTGGTCACTTGAAATGTCATGAAAGTTTAGAGACAACAAGAGAAGAGGAGGAAGGCCAAAGAGAAGATGGGTGCAGGATGTGGCGGATGATCTCTAGATGGGTGTATAGGATGCAGGACATCTTGCTTGTGATTGAGAAGTTTTCCCAAAGGTTGTTATGGGAGCAAGGTTCTGCAAAGGAAATGCTACTGACTGACTGACTCAGTGTCTGTATTTGTTTATCAAATCATTACCAGTATTTTTTGTACCTTAGAATGGGGTTTAATGGACAATTCACTGATAGTGTACCTAGAAAACTAAGTATTCCTGAAATGTTTGATGACAAAAGGGGACAGTGTAAGCAAACTCTGCGTGACAAGCAATGCATTAGTCTATGTAAAGTGGCAGTTTAAACAAAAATATCCCGTTCAATCCCTCCAGATTTTAACTAGAATTTAAAAAAAAAATTCCTTTTTTAAAATGTGAAATTTATGCTTTTCACTTATGTTTTGATTAAACAGTATTGCATTTATTATTTTAATAAACAATACTCACTGAGATATTACAATTTTAGCAATTGATATGTTCAAAACATGTTTTTACATGGTTACTAAAATGTTGGAATCATACTATTTTGTTTTAAACATTTTTCACTGTCTCAAGATTTTAATGTTGAAAATGTCTTCCTCAGACTCAGCAAGCGGTTGAACAGCTTCGTTTGATTGGTATCTTGTGTGGACTTGTCATCTACAACTCAGTTGCTATTGACTTCCATTTTCCTCTGGCCATGTACAAGAAGTTGCTGAAAAGGTTAGTATCAGAGATCTCATTGTTGCATTTATAAACGTGGATATCTGGCATACCATTTGTATTTATTCATTTTTTTTTTAAATTTATGTGAAAAGATAGTAGTGAGAAAAAGTTCTTATGTTGAGTTGAGTTGAGTCAAGAATTGACATCACAGCACTAAGGGAATTTCCATGCATGCTTCATCCTCATCTTCAGCAGCCAGGGCAGAGTTCCAATACTGATGGTACCGGTCACAATCTGGTTATACTTCAGTCTTGCCTTTCCTCCCAATGATTTAAATAATAGTGTAAAATGATGTAGATAAATAAATTAATTAATACTGGCACCAAGATTTACTGAGTTGCCCACTCGTATGATATGTGAAGAATGTTGTTCTAACATTTTGAATTTCTAAATACACTTGTGACACAATACATAGGAAGTCCAACAGGAAATAAAATTTGTTCAGTTCTAGATATCTTTACAGTAGTCAGTAGTAATCTATAAACATTAAAGATATGTTTAAAACAAATAAAGATTATTTCTTATTCTAAACCCAGATTTTCATTAACTCTTTCAGGCCCAAGCAACGCTGTATGTGTTAACTGAGAAGTTCAGATTTGCCCAAACCCCACAGTCTGTGTCGATCATGTGTCCCACATATATTGATTCACATATGGTTCCGAATTAGTTTTTAATGTTTGGAACTGCCATTAAAATATTCAGGGAAGGTTACTCTAATGTTTTAACTTTGTTTGAAAGTCTTTGTTCATGCATTTAGATGCAAATTTACCCAAATAATTTGCTAGCATAATTTTCAGACAGTGAATTTTATGATTTCTTCTTCAACTGACCATGGATACCAATGTTCTAAAACAAGTTTTTGTGTGTTCATTCATGACAAGTGATGATGACCAGTCCTTTCATCCAGTAGTGACTAGATAAAATTTTGTGTTTGCTCTTGTTAAATGCTCTGGATAGTTGCACTGTGTCTGCTTCCACTAGGCATTTGAAGTTACTGTATCTTATGCCATCAGGCCCTGGGGCTGTGTCAGGACAGGTATTCAGTGTAGCTGTGATGCTTGCAACAGAGATGTAAACTGTGTCATCTTCTCCATCCATTTCAGCAATGTACATGACATGGACTCTGTTTCATCTGCTTCCTCTCGTCATTTCGGTTTGTAGGAGAAATCTGTGCAGGGAGGGTTCACCTTTGTCTTCATCAGATCTTAAGGTCACTCCACTGTCAACCTTTAATTGGGGCATATTACAGGATTGGTTGATGCCATTCAGTGGCATCACAAGAATTTTAAAAGGGATTTTACGCACCCTATTTCATTGCAAAATGTCTCCCATATGGTGACTTTACCCTCTCTCTTGCAGTTTGTTTAAAGTATTCAGTGACGTAAATTTTTCTCTCTTTCATGGCTCGCTTCTGAGCATCCGACAGTCTCAAAGACTTTCTACATTTCTCCCTTTCTTTAGTGACACTTCATTTCTCTGTCCATCCCTTTGCAACTTCGGGTGTCCACAATGGGGGTTGTTGATACACATTATTTTTTCTCCACAGTGTTCTGCATGCCCTATCTCATAGACGCCCTATTATATCAGTCTGGTGAGCCCCATACTTAAAATGGCAGCTGGTTTCTGTGACCTTGTACATGTTGTTTTCTTGACCAAAATCGAGCATGGAGGGGGGCTGCGTGGTCTCAAAGCATGGTGTCTGCCTTGAGTGCTAGACATTCTGGATTAAATCTCCAGTAAGGGCTGGAATTTTTTCTCGTGGACTTGGACTTCTAGTAATCCCCCCTGGTCTCTGTGTAGTGAGATCAGACGCCCGTGTGCATTGTAGCGCTTGTAAAAAAACCTTGGCAGTTGGAAATCGAAAAGAGTAGCCTAACAGCGCTGCCCCGGCAAATTTGGAGTTAAAAATCTACCTAAAAGTATTTAAGGATCTTCGCCGGTGCTACAGAGCCTGTGCACTGTGCTGAGCTTTTTCATGCTCACACTTGAGTTAGAAGAAGAATGGAGCACTTATGGGTTACTACCCACGTGCCATGATGTTAATCCGTTGTTTAAACCTCAAACCTCAGTCGAGCATGGAAGATAGTTGATTCCATGATGTCCCAGTACGCCCCACTGACACTGGCAGTCTGTATATAACTGTATAAAGTGAATATTTTGTGTGTAATGGTCCATTTTTATCCATATTTTTCTGTAAAATTTTGTTCAGCACTCTATAAGAACTTAAAGCATCTGAGAGCCAAATTTATCCAGAACTTACCATAACTTTTGAATTTTTTAGGAAATTAAACAAACTTTAAAGTGTTATTCTTAAATTTTGATATTTACTGCTCTTGTGGTTGCAAAACCATGGTAAGTGAAAAGTGTTTTTGGTAACATTTTGTCTTTGTAAACATAACACCCGCTGAATTCTTTTAATTTTTTCTACTAACTGTAACAGCATTAAACATATATGTATCATTAGATTCAAAATGTACATTCATTCCTCTTTTTTTTCTTCAATATATTTTTTTAGGGATTAGAAATAGTTTACATTCTCAATTGCATTTTTTTTTTACACTACCCTCTCTGCTATTTTTTTTAAAGAAAATTAATGCGAGCAAAGTTTTGTCAGAATTCATGTGCCTGAAATAGTTAGTAAATTATAAGCAAATGCAGCTTGTGTCTGGTAGTATAAAAAGTTGAAAATTTGTTAAAACTTTGTACAAAGTACAATAAGAAACGTGTATGAAAAATGTTATGTTTTATTGATAATAACTAAGTAAAATATAAAGGATTCTTTTCAGGCCATTGGCACAATGAGCACATGATCGTAGTCTCATTCTGTACACCAGTTGGCACGAAGGAGAATGTGGTCAACATCATGCTGGCTGTCTTTATTTCCCAGGACTTTACCTGGTACCAGATAGTTGGGTTTTTCAACAACTCGATGAATATGCTTTAAAAAATCCAAGCTGGATTTATCAGGCAAGAATGGATTGCAACACTAAGCACTTCTTATCTGCCTTAACCTTTATCTTTGTGCCAGTTCATATGGGAACAAGCATGCAGACTAAATTGCTGACACTGAGGTTGTTATGGCTGGCCCAGTACTGGACAGAAGTGATGTTATCAATGCCATACGCTGCACTTACCGTACCGAGGAGCATGCCAAAGAACATGACTCCGTATCCCTGTCTAGACTGATAGGGGTGCAGCCTGGAGCTACAAGAAATGAACATTCCACTAAGAGGACAAGACGTTTCATTAACCAACACAGAACAGGCGTCATCAGTCGTTTTACAATTGTGGAGCTTTTGAAGAAAATATCAGTGCACTTAAGGATCTGTCCTGAGTGCTGTGATAATAATCCTTTTTAATCACTAACAATGTAAAATTGATCTGACATGATATTTGTAGTAATGATTTATTTATTATCTGTTGTTTTGTTTATTTCTGCATTTTTTTGCACCAGACCTGTCAGTTTGGATGATGTGAAGGAATTGATGCCTGTCGTTGAGAAGTAAGCAGTTATTCAGTGTTTTGTTCTTTTGCTTTACAGGTTGTTTTTTTCTTCTTTCAAAAGTTTTTTTCTTTTTACAGCGACAGGCCAAAAAAAAAAACATTTTGGCAGCAGTGATGTAGTGTTTGAAAAAGATGCAAAGAATATCATGGAATGTTTAAAAAAAAATAAAGCAGTCCTTTTTGAAACATGAAAACCATAAACTGACTTTAGACATTAGATTTATGTTAAACATGATATATTTTGGATATGTTTTAAGAGTTAATGGATTCGAGTTCTTGGTCAAAATGACAATACTGATGAAAAGAGAGCAATTAGAAGGCAAAGAGATAAATGCCTGGATAGCTTGGCCATATGGATTGAATGAGATAAGAGCACTAAACTGATCTATGATTCTGATGATCCTTTCATTTTTAAAAAAATGTCTGCCTACACTTACTGATATGGAATATTTTAATGATAACAAATTTGGTTTTCTTGACTGCATATTTTGGTTTTTCTGTATTGGAATTAAGTTGTTAACAAATTATTTAAAAAAAATTTTCTTTTTATATTTCCAAATGTTTGCAATCTCATGCTCTAAATATGTGTTTCATATATAGGTATAATGATAGCATGTAATTTAATTTTACATATAGAAGTATAATTCATATAAAGAATTGGAAAAAACATAAAGATTAGCTTTACAAAATAAAAGGTGCAGAGGTTAGCCTTCCCAAGACACAACTGTCATGATCCATGTTACGGTCCTTGGTGAACAATGAACTTTTGCTACTGTTTATGATAAAGGTCAATGTGGGGTAATGCATGGAGCATCTGTGAGTGGGCATCCCATTGATTGGTTTATGGAAAATCGTTTCTTCTTTTCATTCCCCCTGCCAGTGAAGAAGGCTGTGGTGCAGTGCTTGTCCTCCACTGATCCATACTGCTTGGTTTCCAACAGAAACTGGCTGGACCTTGTATCTCCCTACTGCAAAGTGCATGTCTGCAACACCCTTTAGTATGTTGGGGTGCTTGTCCAGATGGACAAAGTTCTGCCCATTGGGAGCGAGTTAACAGTGCAGAGGGGCAGATAGATCATTACGGTCTAAGGAGAATGGCCCCGCGAGGAGTTACCAGGGGATCTGGCCGATGCTCAACACTCAGGGGAAGGATGAGATGGATATACAATCAGACGGTTACTGGTACCATCAGAATTGGAACTCTTCACTTGCTGCTGAAGATGGGGACTGAGCACTTATGGGAGTGTCCCGGGTGTTGTGATGTTGATTTCTTTTTATTCAACAATTCAACATGGGCAAAATTCTGTTCCCCTTCTTTTTGCACTACCAGAGTTGCATGTGAAGAATAAAGTGGCCAGCCTTTATAGGTTTTGCAATCAGAATAGTTTCTTCATCACCATGAAATTAAATATATTAGACATGCATCATTATCATTATCATGTCATTATACATCAAATGGGGCTCACAGTCAAGTCCTTCATTGCATTCTGCCATATGCAGTCATTTCAATATCATGGATGGAATTAGTTCAGCATCTTTGTCTTCTCCTAGCAATGTCCATTTTAGGTTTTTTTTAAATACCCTTCTTTCCTCAGTCCATCTCTTTCCTATTTCAGTGCATGTTTGGTGATTGTTTTCTTTTTCTGAGGATGTGCCCAACATAGTGCCAGCTTCTTTGTCATATAACTGTCGATACCAGCAGAAATGTGTAGGCAACCTTTGTTTGTATATTACAATCCTTATGTCGGGTTATCCCCTAAGTCCTGTACACCCAGCAAGGCAAACAGATTGTGTCAAGACAGCATCTCATTGACTGGGAGCTGCCCAGCTGAGACAGGTGGTAGCCATCCAAGGAGATTTCGATCATCTCTGCCACCATCGGAAGCAATCTCAGGCACCTTGTTCTATGCAGAATGAGCGTAGACATAACCAGTAACTGCTGCTTTCTGTGTTGTGTCAAAGCTGTTAAGCAATGATGGAGTTACCTCTCCAGGACGCAGGCCTGGGCATGTTGAATTGAAGTACTAGCTGTTGCCCAGGCAGTAGGTACCCCCTCTCTACATCTCTTGTTGTCACAATTTTACATTCATTGGAGGATGTAAGTGGCAGTGGAGGTTGGAAATCAGTTTTATTTTCCTAGATGAGCTGCATTCAGTGATGACAAGCCACGTCTGCTCAAATGGGTACTAGGTTGTTATTTATATTTGTTATTTGAAACTTAAAAAAAATGAATAGGCCACTGTTTAGATTAAAATTTTTATGAGTTAGAAAGCTGCTCATATAAAGAATATTTTTAGCCTGCATCATTCTGGTATGCACACATTTGGATCCCTGCTGGTGCTCATTTATTTTTGTGCTGAGCTAAAATTTTCTTTGAGAGATCTATGGGAGGAGACTTATGGAGATATCTATGTGCAAAAAAAGTTATTCTTGACCAAAATCACATCTTAACATGATCTTCTGTTTAACACTCTAAATAAAATGTTAATGTGAGCTGCAGTGGAATAAGGCATAGTGTGCTTCATATTTGCTTGCTTGACAAGACAATGGACCACATTCAGTCCTTAACAGTTGTCTGAGATTTCATTTTTTATTTAAAGCAAAATTTTCATAATTGCATTTGAAAATTGGAATACGTTTTCATAACCAAAAAAAAAAAAATGTAGTACAATTTTTTTCATATTCATCTTTCAGAGGTTTTAAAGAAATACTGGACTATGATGGAGATGACTTTGAGGATTTATTCCTCTTAACATTTGAGGTATGTGAAAAACAATCCACTTTGCTCAAAGTATTTCACTTCATAAATACACCTTTGTCAGTGCATATAATCATACATACTTATTACATACTGCTCATCAAAAGTCAAGGGCCACCGTATTATTGTCAATTCCATATAATATAAGCACATAGAAGGGTTAAATGAAGAAAGTTGTTAGTACAAAAACGAAGCAACACCTTCCAGTAACACTCCTTTATGATGCAAGGGAAACATGAGGACATCTCACCAGCAACCATAGTGATCAGATGTGATTTGGTTTGCTGGCCATAAATGTACATTTTAAATCCATGTTTTCAAACTTCCGTACAACCAAACTGGTAAAGCAGTCATGCTGATTGACATTCTTTATGCAATGATGACTGTTTGTGAACAGAATTCATTCTTAATTTGTTAAACAGTCAGCAGACTTGGGGTTGTTTCGTCACTTGCAAAAAACCATGCCATCGAGAAGAAGTCTTGACACCTTAAAAAGAATGTGTAATCCTTTCCTGTAGTTTTTTAGAGCTACTTTTATGCCCACCCTCCCCCTTACAATTCTTCAAGGGGCTAAATGGAGCTATAGGAAGAGAGAAACTTCATTGAACTAGGTTTTATCCATTGTGGCTCTGTCTCCACCAGAACAATTAGTCCCCTAGCAAGAGCATTGCATGGAGTACAAATTCCATATCTCCAGTGATGATCCCTAGGGAATCTCCATAAAAACTGCGCTCGTAAACTGAGCGATAAATCTGTGAAACTAACCCAAGACCTTCACAGCTCGAAGCAGATGGCTTGACCCTTTCCCACAGAGACCCTTGAAGAGAGATATAGAACAAAGACCCAGGGATTGTGTGTGTGATGAGGAATATCATATTCAGCTACTTGTATAAAAAACACAAAATTGCTGTCAACTTTTGGACTTTGGTCGTGTTGTTTTGTTTAGAAACATGTGGTCACATGAGCCTTTTAGAATCAGATATTTTCTGTGTGTTCAGTAGACTCTCTGAGCTTGAAATATAAAGGGAAAAAATGGAATACAGATTTTAACTTTTAACTGCAAGCTACAGCCCAAAATTATCTGTTGATAAGAATGATATTATATTTATCCAAATTGATGAATAGTGTGCATCCGCTGAACTGTTTACTGGAGGAGCAAGCAGAGCTGTCACCCAGAGCAACAAGTGAGCTATTTAAATTCTTTTACTAATTTCATGTTTAGATACTCTCCTGTGGATCCCAAGGTCATGGTTCAGGTCCTGATGGAGCCAGACTTTTTCAAAAATGACCTTGTCTCCCAGGTCAACCTAGCCTTCAATTGGTATCAGGTAAAGTCCTGTCATGTAAAGGCGGCCAGTATCATGTTGACTATATCCAACACGGAGTGCCCATTTAATATTGATTTAGACTTGTATACATAATACACCTGAAGGTTTGGAAAAAGGTCCTTTTACTTTTACTGTTGTTACATATAAAATTATTGTCTGCTTGATTTGTTTTAATTGCATTGATGAACTCTTTAGTTCTTGAATATAAAAATAATAATATGTAAACTAATGAAATATATTGTTTTAACCTTTTATCATGAAATGGTATTCAAATTAATAAGTTAATGTTATACAAGTTTACACATTAATTTTAATAATTCACTCATTCTGACACAAGTTACAGAAGAGAGTTTTCAAATATATGTTTAAATGATATTCTTTAAAATCATCCGCATACTTAAATTGTGAGCCACATCACATGGATTGTGACATTCAAATGGTCAAATGAACTTTCTTTTCAGAAACGTTTATGTTAGTCTTTCTGTGAACCATCTCCTCAATACATCAGTCAAGGAACAGTTTGATGCATTCAGTGAAGGTTTTTACAGTGCCTCTGGAGGCAAAATTCTGGTTAGTAATGTACAATGACATTTTTCCTGTATCAAAATCTAATAATTTATCAACATCACAATGCAGCAGGTCCATTCCAGAATGTTGGTCTCATCACCACATGCCTAAAATCACTTTACCTTTTGCCAACTCTCCAACTCATGAACTTTCATGCGAGGATGTCCTTGATATCCTTTGTCCACCATTTTGTTGGTCAACCCCTGTCATATCTTTGAGAAATCATATTCTCCATTACTGTTCTCTTAAAACATTTATGGCTTTTCTTCTTCTTCACTTCCACTTTTACGGCTAAGGGTGTCAAGGGAGATAAAATGCTCTGCTTCTTGCCTCAACAATAGACACATCATGCTTTTATAAAATTTCTCTGATGTTATCTTTCTATGTTGTTTTTACCTCATGATCTGCGTCCTTATGTTTTCTTGTATGCCTTATATGGTATGGCAGCATGAGGCATTTTCTTTAAGTGAGCAAACTATTTCTTTTGCTGTGTTAGAATAGGTTCTGGTCACTCCCTTCTCAGACATCTCAACTCCATGGTTACTAATTTTTTTAATGGTTTGTGAGTCTGACACAGTTATGGCTTTAAATCTGGCAAAAGTTGTTCAGTTTCAAAGAAAATATAGCTTAGGATTTCTATTGGATGTAGTCATTTCATCAGACCATTTGTTACTCATTTTAGCACCTGTCTGGTTATTTTACTCTGTCCCCCTGATGACAGGATGTGCCCAATATATCACAATTGTCTTTGTCTAATAACTGTTGGTATAAGTAGTCATCCAGACATTTGTGTTTTTTCTGTATCTTCCTTGAATTCCTCCTATTTAATGTTTCTTAAATTTCCTCAGAGATGGAGAGAATATGATGGAGATTTTTCAGTATTCCAGATTTCATAGCCATATGTTTGGGCAGAGTAGTGTAATACTTGTGCTGTCCTTCCTGGTACATTTTTAGTACATTTGATTCCAGTTCTGGAGATTTTCCTAGGCAAAAGAGAGTAACTTAGCAATCCTGGCTCCTTGATGTATTTATCATTACCACATAATACATCTTCAATGGCAAGAGCCTTCTTCCTTCTTGGTTAGCTGAATTATTTTTCATTTACTTTGTCAATCTTTGTCAATCTTAGCAGCTAAAATATTGTAGCCAAAAGCAAGCCCAAAATAATTTTCAACTACTAATGCAACTAAGGAAAAATCCAGGATAACTGGTGTAAAACAGTCATCTATCATAAGAAAAAAATTGAAAATGGATAAGCAACCACTGTATTCAGTTATGAAAGAGTCTAAGACATGCAATCTACTCCAAACATGCCCGGCTCTCTAGCGTAGTTGGTTAAACCTGATTTTCGCTGCAGCCGGGTGATGAACTCCTTGTGGTCCGGGTTCACTCCCTGGGAAAGGCAGAAAAGCTACATTTCTCCCAGATTAACGGTACCTATAATGGAATCAAGGCCGAAGGGTTGCGATATCCATAGTACCGAGCCAAAGGGTTAAGAACTCATGGTTTCTGGATACTTGAAAAAAAAAAAAAAAAAAGCTCACAAACATTAGAAAGAGGTGGTCATAATTTTCTGCCACATCATTGAAAGGGAAAAACTATAACATATTGTGACAACTTGAAAGATTTATTGAAAGGAGGACAATAAAAGAAGATTCCATGTCATCTTTTATCATGGCATAAAAAGGTGTTAGCACATGAACTGATAAATTTTGTTGGAGATCATAAGATGCAGAGAGACCTGATTGCTCATGCTAGTTGCCAAAGTACTTAAAGATGATGATGATGATGATGCATTCAGCTTAAAGCAAATAGGACATGAATTACTCAAGGTTCTGTGATTCTGCTGAGATACAACATATACCAAGCCACATGAAACAGGTCGGTTTTGATTTGTACCATATCCTTCTGAAATCATGCTCTTATTTGCTGAACTGGTCAGTTAACTAACACAGTTGCTCGGAAACATAATGGTGAAAATGTATGGCTACAAAGTTTATTTAAGGCAGTAAAGAAGAAAACACTGACATAAAAATGCATTTTATGCATTCTGAAAGAAAAATAATAAGACACAGGGCTATCTGAAATCCTAGTCTGAGATAATAAATGTCTTTAACTGAAAAAAAAGGGTGTAGTTTTGTGTTAATCTTTCAGATGTTAGGAAAAATGACTCCACCTCAGTCTTTTGAACATGAAAAAATAAAATGAAAAATATACAGACAGATAACAAATATCCTTAGGCACAGTTCATTATCAAACAAACTGTACAAGTTGTCAGCGGACCTGGTAATTTCCTGGTGTGCTGGATTGATGTGAAATCTGCAAAGGACCTGCTACATAGTATGGTAATGTTGATATGTTTGTTAACAAAAACGAAATGACTGCTTTATAATCTTCATCAGCTACACTAACAGGATGAAAACATCAACATCTTTTGACCTTAGGATTGGACACTATAAATAAGAAAAATATAAATGTTGTCAGAATTCTTGCTCTGTTAGTGAAGGATTTAAGGACTATTAATTTAAAAGTTTACTGTGGACAAGTTTGTATGATATATTTGTTTACATGCATGAACTGTCTTATAGAACATTTTTCAACCCGAGGAGCTGAGGTCACTGGTTGAAGGAAATGAGGACTACGACTTTTCAGTGCTAGAAAGGGTAAATCTTCACTATCACTGTTGATTGTTGCATGGATTTTTATCGTTTTACAGGGCCTTGCAGGTCGACCCAGCCTAAAATTGGTACCAGGATGTATGTCCTGGGGAAGTAAAGACGGCCAGCATAATATGCCCGATGCGCCTAAAGGCGTGAAAAGGGATCTTTACTTTTTTTTTTAAATTGTTGATTGTAGACAGAAACATGAGTTACTCCTGTAAAACTAAACATTCTCTTATTGATTTGCTGTGAAAATTAATTTCTTATTGGAGTCCATCTTGTCAGCCTACACATTCTTTTAATATTACACCCATCACTAAAAAAAAAATCAAAGGGTGTCTTTGAGGTGTTTTCTGATCCCAGTAAATGCTGTAATCCCAGAACTCATTTAAAAACCAGTGTGGTTCTTTGCTTCAACCACAGAGAAGTGCATTTGAGACTTTCACTTTGATAAGTTTGTTTGAGACTAGTGGACAAATGTCCGGTACTATAGAGGACAGCCTCTGCCTTAAGTTAAAAATACTTAAAGTCGTGAGGTGGTCATAGTTAGATTAGTGAACCTTCTTATATATTATCGCTTTATGAATATCAGTACCATACCAAGGGAGCACTGCCACAAAGACCTCTGTCATAGCAGCACAAGCATTTAAAGTTCTGTATTCTTATATGTTGTCCATCTAACACTATGGAAACTAATCCTTAGCCATTCAAATGACAGAACAGTTCATAAATTCCTTAAAATTGTCTTTTGATAACTGAAACACAAGTTCCTATAAAAGGTAAAATCTTTGTGTCCTTTACAGCTACTTTGTAAATGTGTTGAGTCAAGGTATCTTCTCTAAATGAGTCTTAGGGTTATACTTACCACTTAGATGTTTTGTTTACTGGGGAAAGCTGAAGTATTTTGGCCATGTTAAACATTATGGAGAGGAGCTGCTGGCCAGATGGTTAGACCACTGGGCTCTCATGTCGGGGGCAAAATAAAATTCTCATTTGCACAGTCCGTGGTGACAGCATTAGCCATGCGGCCCTAAATCTTAGGTCTCAAAGACCCCTCCTATTTACACGACCATATTGGTTTTATAAAGGCAGTAATTGGCAGTTTTTCTAAACATTTTGGTGGCCTGTAGAGAACTGTGTTGGAGGTAGTTTCTGGAAAATGAGGCAGAGGCAGACATCCATGAACACTAGACATTGAAGATGCACAGGCTGTGAAAGCACATAGGGCTGAATAATTGGCTAAGAGAGACTTTTAGGCTTGCCGTGATGAGAACAACACTATGTAAACTGACCTGCTGATTGACAATGACTGTGGGAAGGGGGACAAGATCAAGAGATGAAACAAAATGTCCTGGAAACAATGACATGCAAGGATGATGGAGTACAGACTTATACTGAGCTGAAGAGTGTTGTTGGGAATAGTTATGACACTTGGATAGGACATGATCAAACGGCTTCAAACCAGCCTTCACCCTGACTGAGTTAATCACTGAATGAATAGTTTAATCTCTACTGTTCATCTGCCTGGGTTTTCAAACCCTTCTTACAGCATCATACAGCTTGGAAAATGGGGCTAATAGGATACAGTCAGTGTCTGTGGCTTTCTTCTTCTTCTTCTTCTTCAGCATTCCGAGCCCATTAGGTTCATTGCTGTAGATATCACCCACCTCCACTCAGCTATCTGGTTGGCCTTCTCTTTCCAGTTGGTTTGTTTTAGTATCCAGAAGCCATGAGTTGTTAACCCTTAGGCTCGGTATTATGGATATCGCAACCTTTCGGCCTTGATTCCATTGTAAATACCGTAAATCTGGGAGAAAATGTGGCTTTCCTGCCTACCCCCGGGATTGAACCCGGACCACAAGGAGTACGTCACCCGGTCTCCGCGAAATCCGGTTTAGCCAATTCCGCTAGAGAGCCGGGCTTCCAGTTGGTAACACCAAGTGTTTGCAGGTCTCTCTGGGCATTATCTCTCTATCGTCTTCTTGGTCTGTCTCGTGGTCTACAACCATTCATCTCCCTTGTGTATACAGTTTTTACCTCTCTGTCATCTGACATTCCCTCAATATGCCCCCACCCATTTAGCTCTCATGATGCCAATGATCAATGGTGTTTTAAACAGATTATAAATTGTTGCTTCTCACTCTCCATTCCCCACTGTTTACATCTTTGATATGTCTGTAGCTTTGGCATTGCAAATGTAGTGTGTAATTCCAGGATACCTGGTTCGATTCCAGATGTGGGGGGGGGGGGGGGGGGGGGGGGGGGGGGTCATCAGACCACTTTGCATTAATTTCAACAAATCAAGAGCTGCCATTCAGAAAGTAACAGCAGCTACTGAACGTAAAATTTTCCAGTAAAACAAACGCTGGGGTTGGCTCTGCAATGTTCTGCAAAGGATACACAACTAACCTGTTAACTCTAATAGGATACAACGACTCCTCTATAACTGATAAAAGTAGAAACAAAAGGAGAGGTACCTGGTGACGTAACCTCAGCCAATTATATTAATGAACCAGTACCCTAACCACTGGAAGCTGTCCTTACCTGCATAGGGCTGCAGGTTACTCCTGGCTAGTGTAGCCGTTATGGATGCCGTAATTATAACTTCTTCTGAGGCTGCACGGGGTATCTGGGATCTGCCTTGTAGGTCTGCCATCCAGATTGAGACTTTTTAAATTTTTGGAGGGTATGGTAAATCTTTAGGCAGAGGCCCAGAGGGGACAAACCGATTGATCCGTTGAACTGGAAACTGTGGTAGCTCAGCGACTAGACATTTGCTGTTGGCCCAAAAGTCTTGGGTTCAAATCTGTGTTGTATTAAATATTTTTTTTTTAAAGTTACTTTGACCTCTAAGGTCAGCCTAGTCTAAAGCGGGAAATGTCATGAGATATAAAAGCTGGAGTGACTTTGACCACATCACCCATCCAGCATCGACTGGTATATATGCAAATAGGATTTTAGCACCAAATATCCAGTGCATCACTAGCGGCAAACAGGTCCTTTACTTACATTACTTGTCACTAACCACAGTGTTGAATCGACACCATAGCACTCGTGACACTCCCATAAGCCTTCCATCCCCATATTCAGCAGCAAGCAAAGAGTTCCAATTCCAATGGTACCAGTAACTGTCTGACTGTACATCCATCTTGCCTTTCCCATGAGTGATGAGCATTGGCCAGATCCCCTGGTAACTTCCAACTGTGCCATTCTCCTCAGACGTAATGATCTGTTTGTGCCTCCACACTTTTCACTCGCTCTAAAAGGGTCCTCACAACATCTAGCTTGTCATGCACAATACACTAACCACATTGTTACCACAACTTACATTTTATATGGGATGAACCAACAAACATGCAGACATTATTTTCAAAGGGTTAGGAATTCGGCATGCAGGCCCACCTAACATGTTGCCCTTTGAATTTCAAATAAAATCATGCCTCCAAATTTCTTTCGAGAATCTGGCTTTGTAAATATCTGGATTTATAAACATTTTTGCCTGAACGCTAACACAATGTGAAAAGTTTTCATAATTCATTTTGACTCATACAGAATACAAGCTACAGAAATGGTTACTGCAGAACTTCTCGAGAAATTATGTTTTTCTGGGAAGTTTTCCATGAAATGAGCTTGGTGGATAAGAAGAAATTTTTATGTAAGTATACATTATTAAGTGGCATCTGAATGGTTTGAACAACGGATCAACATCATGGGACAAGGGTAGTTACCCATAAGTGCTCCATTCTACTTCTAACTCAGACTGGAGTCTGAAGAATCTCAGTGCAGTGCATGAACTCCGTAGCACCGGCAAGGATCCTGAACTACTTTGGGTAGATTTTTATCTCCAAAATTTGCCAGGGCAGCACCGTTAGGCCACTCTTTTTCATTTCCAACTACCAAGGGATTCTTTACGAGTGCAACAATACACATACAGGCGTCCAATCTCACTACCCTGAGACTAGGGGAAAAATTACTAGAAGTCCACGCAAAAAAATCCCACCCTTACCCGGGGCCTGAGCCCGGGACCTTCAGCACTCGACGCCATGCCTCAAGACCACTCAGAGTGAGAAAAGAACACTAATCTGATCCATGATTTTGGTGATCATGTGAGATGGCAAAACATGTCAGCCTAGGCTTATCGCTATGGCACATGATGATGATGAGAGAAAAAGGTCAGTTAGAAGTTGCTGACATTTCCATGAAGTGTATCTTTATGTGGAGCAAGTGTAAGATTTCAGGATATTAATAACTGTTTCAAACTTTACTGCTGAATTACCATATAGACAGTCTTTGCTTATCAAGAATTGCACACTACAATTTGTTTAAGTGTTAGAACATTTATGCTAGTATTTCAAATCATGACATATATTGCTTGTCATACATCAGTTCACCACCAAATGTTGCAGAACCAGCTAGTCTGTTTGTCTGCTCATTTCCCACAACACCTGGAGAAAATAGGATTTCAGAAATTAAAAACTATTTCAAACTTTACTGCTGAATTACCATATGGACAGTCTTTGCTTATCAAGAATTTCACACTCCATTTATTATTATTTAAGGAATATATTTATGTTCACTTTAAATCTGTTGTTAAAGTATAATATATAGATATGTAACCCTTGGTAGTTAACTCTTTGAGTCCCAGAGGGTTTAACATCACAGGCCCAAGGGATGGTAAAGAGAGACATAAAATCAGCGCAGATAGATTATTACAATCTGAGGATAATGGCACTGCGAGGAGTTACATGGAGATCTGGCTGAAGCTTGACACTCAAGGGAAAGGAGAGACATATACACAATTCCACAGTTACTAGTACCATCAATATTTTAACTCGTTCTCTAAGGACGGAGTGCTTATGGGGGTTGGGGGGGTTAATTTCGATTTTTAATTCAATATAAAATCAGCACATGATGCGTTCGTTGGGCTTCTGTGTAGAAATCTATGAACGTATGATATGTTCCTTGGGACTCAAAGAGTTAATAACACTTTTAATGTTGTTTTTTTAAGTTTCTACAACTATTTTATAATTGTAATTGCTGGACAATAAACGAATCATCAACATTTGAATAACTTGCTTTATTTTCAGTTTTTCTTACATCAAGTGATCGTATTCCTGTAACTGGCATGAAGAATATAAATGTAAGGCATATGTTATTAATAATAACTTTTGCATAAGTAAATCTAGTTAGTAAGTTAGTTAGTTGACAGATTATCCTCATTGCACGTCGAACCACACAGTCCATAAGTGCTCAGATCCCCTCCTCAGTAAATCCTGCAGCGTGTAGTGGCTAACGACACTAGTTCTGTGTTGGTTAATTTTTCTTCTTTGGCTACCGGCGTAGTGTTCTTGTTTGGTGACACCCCGTTTAAAACATGTTGTTCTTGCAGTCTGACCATGGTTGCTGATATACAGTTCTCAGTTGGTTCACGCAAACGTCTCAACTCTCTTAAAGCATTCAGTATATCAGCCTGGTCCATGGCTTGTCTGGCTTTCACAGTAACCTTACCTGCAAGCCTATCAGCTTGCTCATTTCCTTGTACCCCCACATGTCTGGGCACGAAAATGAAACTAATCATTATCAGCCGAGCACTGCTTTCGGACCCAGCCCTTCTCTATCTTCCTGAGCATACTCATCGAGTTACTGAGAAAGCATGCCCCAGGGAAAGGCAGTGTCTCTAGCCATGTTACTGCTTTGGTCACAGCCATGACCTCCATAGACTACTTGTAGTTACGGAAAAAGCTCCAGAATCTTTCTTAAGTAATTCTGTAAATCATTAACTGTTTGAGGAACATCATCACCAAGTGTCCTGTCAGATGGCTTGGGTGACCGTGCTTTATCAATTTTGTGATCTCAATCAGCATGTATCAGACTGTGTGCTGACACCCTTCAATGCTATGACAAAAGCCTGTCATGAATCATCTTTCATTGTCTTCCTTTGTCTCCCTTACCATAAATCTGTCCTGTTGTCAGAAGAAGTTTTAGTTTTTCTTTTGTTATAATGTGGCCAAAAATAATGACTGGCTATTTCTGATATTGGCGATAATCTTTCTTCAGATCTTGAGAATGTTTAAAATCATAACTTCTTCTCCTCTCCCACCCTTGCTGCCTTATCAATGTTTGTCTTTTAGACAAATGCTATCTGAGTTAAAACCATATGTACACTGGCGGATGTCAAAAGGAAACCACCATTATATTTATCCCTAGAAAGAAATAACTGCCTTAAAGGCCTGATGTGCCATTAGTGTGTAAAGGGACCTTTACTTTTTAAAATAACAAACTGTATTTTCTTTTTTAAATTTTTGGATTTTAAATTAAAAAAAAAAAAAGGATGTAAACACAGTCATTATTATAACTAATTGAGAACAGTAACTTCTGTGTGCCAAGGAGCTTTGTATAATTCCACACACAAATTAGTGTTTTGTTCCTTATATAACACAAGTCATCCTCATGTGGAATGCAATTTTCGTTATTTGAAGCCCCACCCTGGCTTTTGTCGGGGGCCCTAAATAAAGCCGGGCCATAAATATGGCCTAACGGCTGAACAGGGTTTCTGTGACATCGCCCCGGTTGATTCTCATCCGCATGTTGGCACTTTGTGTCACCGGGTGTTTATCGCTCTGTGTGATGTCCTGGTGGGGTATAACTTACCTACCTACCTACCTACCTCATAAGTCCTACCAAACAAAACAAAACAAAAAATCAGTGAATCACTTTTTGTTATTTCCAACTTTAAAAAGCTATCTTCTAAAACTATTTTGAAAGATGTCTTGAAGTTACTGCCAACATGAAATTACCCCTCAGGGAATTCTGGAAGAATCACTTAATATTATTCATTGCTTGCAATTTTTTTATCAGGCATAGGAAAATGTTTCCATGAGAAACAAAAAAACCTAGAAAACAATTAGGGTCTGACTGCATTTGAGGCACTGATATTGTCTATACAGTTTTCTTCCCATGCAAGAACATGCATTTGGAAGTTGATGAAGCAGACATAAAGGAGCTGGTAGAGGAGCATTAACATTAAACTGACCACTGAAGAACAAGAGTTAAAAACTGAACAGGAAAAGTAAAGGATGAAAAGGAAGAGCAAATATCTTCACAGAACACAGACAGCAACAAAACCGGAGCAAGCACAAGTGACATAAAATAAAATCTTGCAGTACTAGGATAAATTGGATTAATTTATAGCCTATAAATATTCCTTCCCACTCTTGCTCCATATCTTTGCATTTTCTAAATTTAGGTGAGAGTAGTTCTCGTTTGTTATTTTTAAATATTGTTTTAAATTGTATTTTATTTTTTTATCTTCAACAAATTAACTGATTCCCCTTAATATATAATAACAAATTGGGTTTTGAGTTATAAACTTTTTGAGGTATCAACCAGTCAGGAATGAATTAAGTTTGTAAGTCGAGGTACCAATGTGTGTGTGTATATATATATATATGTTGGATTTTTTCCCCAGATAATCATTCAACCTCATGATGAAGAAGATGGGATGTTGCCATATGCTTACACCTGCATTAAGCTCCTCTGCTTACCTCGTTACACAACAAAGCAGCAGCTGCAGGAAAATCTTCTTTCAGCCATTCAACAGCCTGAAGGTTTCCGGTTTGATTCCGATTGACTCACCACTGATGAAGCAACCGCAAAGCGTGTTATTGATTTATAGGGAGAGACAGTTACAAATGAAAGCAAGACTTCAGTTAAACCCATGGTTAGACTAAAGATACTAGTATTACAACTAAAGAGAGCCTTAAAAATGCATACTTTTCAGTCTTATTTTAACACATTTTGTAAAATGCATTTCATTGTTCATAGAACAAAAGGGACATGTAACATGATCTACCGGCCTCTCTAAAATGACACTATAGGTCTATGTGGACGGAGAAAAAGAGAAGAGGCAGATAAGGAAAAGACCTGTATATAATTTTGCTGAGCGGACAGGTCTCACACACACAAATATCAAATCCACTGCATCTGACCAACAGAACAACAAATGAATAAACAGATTTTGTTTTCAAAAGGTTACAAAATGGGCATGCGGGCCCGTCTTAAATTCAGCCCGCCCAAGGACTCTTTTTTTAGACCACAGCTGTATGTTATCAGTAATGCATGTTATGTTTTTATATAAAAATGCTTTATATATATTCATACAAACACCCACACACTCATATATCTAAATACATAATAACACCAACCCACATTCAGACATACATTCATTCATACAAACGCATTCATACATACACTCACATTCATACAAGCCCAAACACCAATACATACACATACTCATACATACTCATGCATACACAAACACACATACATATACAAGCACCTCATTATACACAATCACCTCATTGTACACAATCATTCATATACACACATGCATCTGATCATATACAGTCACCTCATACATACAAACAATAACACACGCATGCATAATCAACCATGCATACACAGTCACCAATGAAAACACTAATGCCAATGCATACACAGTCACCCATGCATACACAATCACCCATACATACACATTCACCCATGCATACACAATCACCCATACATTAAACAATCGCCCGTACATACACATTCACCTAAACATTCACAATCCCCCATGCATACAAAATCACGCATACATTCTTAAACGCCCTTACATAGCCATATGCCTGAACATAAACAAATAATCAAACACACGCAAATACCCATATATACACAGGTAGCTGCTCATACATGCTACCCAATAATGCACAAACACGAACATCTATCTATATACACACACATGCTAGTACATACACAAACATACATCCATACACATCCATGTACATATATGCATCCAAACTCTCAGGCATGCATACTCATCTATACACTCACACACAAGCACCCATACATTCATACATCCACATACATAACAGGCATAAAGGAAGCTGGTCAAACAGTCATTAGCAACTGGTGATCCAACAGCATGCAGTGTTATTGGACTGTGAAGGTGATGAACAAAACATGTTGTAGATTACAAATGTTGACATTTATTTATTGGCAGAACTGTGAGCCTAAATCGCAGAGTGATAACTGCGGGGCTTCCGTACATTTCTGCAGATGTTAAACTATTTTATACTCATAACTGATTTGCAGATATTATTTGTAAATAACCTTGTTGGTCCTTGTTGAACTGGAATAAGTGATTTTATAGTAAATATATTCAAATACTGTGGTTAACAGTTTTAACTTTATTCTGTTCAAATTAGATGCAGTAGTGATTATTAGTCAATTTTCTGGTAGTATGTTTTGTAAACAGAAAATCTCAGCATTTGCAAAACAATATGACTACACTCATAGCTAGTTTTTATTTTTGTTTTGTTCCTATTTGAAATTTTTATCTAGGACTGTCATTACTGTTATTCATAAGACAAAATTGATTTGTCACAGTAAATAAGAAAAATCACTTGTACATGCATTATTCATTTAAATATTATGCTTTTCATAAACTGTTAGAACTGGACACAATAAAATTCGTATTTATTGATTATAAAGAGAATGAACTGGAAAGGCTAACAAATATATTTAATTATCAACAGATATATATACGAGAAGTAAGAGAAAATTAACCAGGGACAGTGAAAACATCAACTCACTAAAAGGAAGCAGCTCAAAAATTGGGGCTGGTTATACATCAAGATAAGAGAGAATACATGGTAATAATAAGAGAGGGAAACAAGAACAGAAATATAAATATTTGGGTAGAAACTTCAACTGCTCCAATGCACTAAGAGAGGATGAAACCTGGAGTACAACTAAAAGAGATGAAGCCTTATTACAAATTGTTGAGAACTGTTACTATGAATCTGTTGACCTATCAAAGAGAATGTATTCTTAGAAAACACGGACTAGATCAGTTGTGTTATATGGTTCTGAAACCTGGAGTACAGAACTTGAGAACTTACAATGAAAATTTGGACCTATCAAAGACGAGTACAGTGGCATCATCATTATCATGTGCCATGCCAAATAGCATAGGCACTCATGCATCTCCACAGATCATGATCCCTGGTTGCCTGGAACAGCTCTCTTAATATTCTTCCATGCCATCGTTTTAGCCCATCCATCATCATCCCTCTTGGTTTGCCTCTACCCCTCTTTCCACTGATCTTTCCAGTTGTCACAATGTTTTCCAGTTCAGCACTTCTCATTTCATGGCCAAAGAACAGGTTTGTCTCCCCAGTTACTGGCATTATGAGGGCTTATAGACAAAAACTGTTAGAGCAAATGGAGAGAATAGCAGATTATAGACACAAACTGCTTACACGGAAGAGATGAATTTGAGCAGATGACAAGACGGACTAAGAAGGCGATGGAGAGATAATATACAGGCAGCCAGTAAGAGAAGGCATGGAAGTTGGGAAATCTGCAGCCAAAAACCTCAAGAGCTCAGAATGCTGACAAAGAAGTAGTAGAAAAGAAAGAGGACACAAATTTGTTCTAACTTGACATTGTGGACAGAAAGTAGAAATTATTGACTTTTGTGTTGACATATGTAAATTAAATGCACTTATGGGAGTGTCCCGAGTGCTGTGATAACAATTCTCCATTCAGCATTTAGTGAGACATCATCATACAGAAGGTCCTTTACAGAACATCTTTCACATCACAGCCTGCCTGAAAGAAACTCTTGTCTCTCGCCAGCTCTTCCACTTCATGCACTTTCCTACCCATCTCATGTTAATCGGTGCCTTTCTGCTATTATTTTTTTGCCCTAATACCCTTTGGCACTTGAAATGGCCAAAATATTTCAGTTTCCAAGACAAGAAACTGTTTACTAGCAGCTTACTAGCAAATCTTCCTTTATGTTCAGATCTTTAATAAGGATATTATTATTTCTTTTCTTCTTTGTTCATGGTGTTCTTATAATCTTTCTATAGCATTTTAGTCCAAAACTCCTTATTTTCTTCCTTAAGGACAGCAAGATAGTTGTTTCACATACAGGGAAGATGCACACTCTCAAAATTTTTACTTTGATTTTCTTTAACCATAAACTTGTAATGCTGTTTAATCTTTGCACTGCTATGGCCATCCTTCTTTTGAGTTCTGTGGAACAGTCTCCATTGCTGTTTATTATGGAGCCTAGATATTCAAAGTTTGTGAGTGATCTGAGTAAATATCACACTGACCTCCTTTACATCCCAGTAAATTGTTTCCAGTTTAAGGCTGGGTAAAGCTGAGAGCTAACATCCATGTTCTGTAAATGCCCACGCATCAGTGGGGTTTTAAACACATGACTACTTACTGACATGTAGACGTGCTAGCCACACTGTTACTATATTTTTACCACAGGGTGATCCATGACAAAGTGGTCTAGCTGTTTGCCTAGCACTCTAAAGGTCATGGATTCATGGCTGTGTCATTAATTAACGGGTGCAGAGACAGAGACCCTATGATGTTCATGCTCATGTTTGACACTCTCAACTAGCCATTTTGTGGAGAGAGACCAAATCATATGGGATTAAATCCAATACAAAAAAGTCAAACCTCTCGACTTTAACCTTGACCATATTTCTTTAATTTTATTAGTAAATTTTGTTGTAAAGAATTTTAAATTGTAACAAAATCATGGAAAACATTATGAGTATTTTTATTTTTAATAATAAAAAAGTTATTTTATAAATCTAGTATAGTGAAAATGTCATGACATAAATATTTTGTTTTTTTTCCACATCCTGAATATGCATTTCTTATGATCTCACCTTTCCTAAGAATTGTTTAGTTTCACCAAAACAATACCTTTTGGATTTCACAATTAATTATTTCATAGCTCAAAATCTATTTAATTTTTCCACTATTATATGAGCATTATTTTAATTGTCAGTCCTACTTCTTTCTCCTTTTTATCATTATCATTTTCAGCATTCATCATTATTATCATCAGCTCCTCCTTCTCCTTCACTTTTTTGTCTTTTCAAGGCTCCCATCTTTTCAGTCTTGACCCTTAGTGGGATTCATCACTAACCCTAAAATTGCCAGTAATATCACACACCCTGGAGAAATGGAGTTTAAATGGCTCTGGAGTGTTTTCCAGGTCGCCTACATAGACCACGGAATACACGATTACTGACAAACAGGAGTAAACATACCATTATGGAAAAACAAAGGTATTAAGAAAGACTGCAATAATTGCAGTGGAATATCACTACTAATAAGGGAAAATGTATGCAAAATTAATCAAAAGAGGATACAACACCATTAATGGAAGGAAGATCAACTCACAGAATCACTGATGGGATTTAGAAGAAACAGAAGCTGCACAGATACAATATTTACATTAAGACTGCTTACTGAAAGAGCAGAAGATGATATGACCTATATTGTAGGATTTATAAAAAAGGAAAACGTTTTTGATTAAGTACATACGAATATGATGTAGGGTCATATAGAAAGATATGGAAATGGCAAACAAACTTTAATAAATTTGCTAGAATTCATACACATCAAGTAAAAGTTGTGCACAAATTAAATCAGGTACATCCAAACTTTTTGAAGTAAACTTAGTGCAACAGAGATGTGTGCTATCTCCCCTGCTTTTCATAACCTAAAAAGACAGTGTATGCAAAGAAGTTAGGGATGAAGAAGATGATGCTA